ATACTGACATCGTGATTATTGCTGATGACGTGAATGCCCAAGCCGTTTGCCTTTCGGACTCTGAACAACACTTGGAAGGTCATTTTGGGGTCGATGCACGCCGAACAAACAATGGCGATCGATTCCTATAACTGCTTGTTGGCCGCAGTTTTAGCAGCACTTTTCTCCAACACCAAAATGCTCCCTTTGTTTCCCGATGCCCACTGAGTTCTTCCATAACCTGGACCAAAATTGACCATGTTGCCATCAGTTACAGATGGCGCCTATCGACTAAAGACTGTCAGTTAACTTGGAGCACGTACCTGGATTCCGACCGTGCTTTAGTGCGCGGACGCCTGGCGCTCACTCTTAGCGCTTCAACGGAGCGCCTGACTTTTACACCTCTCATTTGTAACAAACGTGCAGTGTGCAGTTCTCCGGCATCATTACGAACTGGCCTACCAACTGTCAATGATGAATGAGGCTGGTGAGCCGAACGCTGACTGAAATTGTCTCAAACGTACCAGGAGAAATGCTTTCGACGCCTACTTTACGCCCAGCGCGACACACCAACTGTGAATGGATATCTGAGGCATTGATCAACTTAATAAGTAATTTCCTCAGTTCAGTGACGACCAGAGGTGATAAAGCTACCAAGGTAAGTGAACCGATCTACCACTTCCAGTGATTGTTCGGTGATAGCTAGAACCGGAGGTGTGTCCTGCAGCAGTACTTTGCACTTGGAAGATGCAAAACACATTCCGAAGTCTGCGGCGCTATGCGTCAGTCCAACCGATAGTGTTTGCATAGCCACTGCCTCAGGCCCAAGAAGAACTGTGTCCTCCGCATACTCTAGGTTGGTTAGTCGGCCACCTGGCGGAACATCCACTCCGGTGGAATCTGAAGGAACAGAGTCAATCATGATCATTTCAATAACAAAGTTGAAGAGAAAAGGTGATATAGGACGACCCACTTCGCGGGAAACTCAGGAGACAGTTTCTCGTAGACCCTTACACGACTTCGGGAATCACCGTGGAGCAACTTAGCCGGCACGCCCTTCATGGATAGGTAGTACCACAAGCTGGCGCAGTCAACATAGTCGAAAATGGTTTTTAAGTCAGGGGAAAACCCTTATAGCCGCTTGTCTCTGTGTCTCTGTTCTGACACTTGGTGAAGAGTAAATGTGTGGTCGATAAAACCACAACCAGGACAGCAGCCAGCATCGGTTCCCACTGGGACCAATAAGTTATCAGAGAATGAAACCCGTGAGGAGTTCGGATGCAATGGTAACAGGGATGATGCACAAAGTACGTTAACTCTTCTTGATGATGGGCACGACGAATAACAGTCACCGGCCTAAAGGTAGCTCTTCACTGTTCCAAATCGTGTTACATAGAGTAGCGATAGCGTATAGCGTATAGACCAAATATTCACTCTGCGGCAGGTGCTAGAGCAGCCCTACGCATACCGCAGACCGACGATAGCTGTGTTCCTTGATTTCAAGAGTGCGTTCGATTTAGTCGATCTATCGATTCTGTTCGAAATACTTGCGCGGAAAGGTGTTCCCACGAAATATGTGAACATCCTACGTGCTCTATACTCGAAGACTACAGGCCGCGTCAGGGTTTACGGTGGCCTATCGGATAGCTTTCCGACAACAAGTGGCGTTCGTCAGGGTTGTTTGATATCCCCATTTTTGTTCAATTTCCTCCTGGATTCTATCCTGGAATGTTCCCTTGCGGAATCTCACGATGTAGGCGTTGAAGTGCTGCCGGGGAAAGATTAGTTGATCTTGATTATGCGGATGATGTTTTGTTTTTTCGACGATGTTGCGGTGGCACAGTCTGTTGTGTCCTCAGGTGTTCGACTTGGCAGCTTCTTAGATTGCGCTATAACACAATCAACCCTGAATAGCCCGTCTAGATTGGTCCCATTATTTGATATTCACTTCGCACCTTAAAAGTGCAAATTGTTACTGCAGGACCACCAGCCACTGTATGACCCCTTGACCCTTGCTAACGAGGAACTCTAGATGGATGATCAATTCACTTATCTTGGCAGCTGCATCAGCAACGAAAATGAAGTCATTTCACGCATTACAAAGGACAGAGCTGCCTTCTTGAACCTGCAGCATCTTTAGCGACATAAGGGAGTTTCGCTCCATCTGAAAGGCCACGTATACAAAGCCACAGTGAGGGCCGTCTTGCTCTATGGGAGTGAGACTTGGCCCCTTCGATCTGAAGATGTGAGGCACCTTCAAGTCTTTGATCATCGTTATCTACGAAGCATTGCTAGTGTCGGATGGCACCAGTGTCGGCAACGATGATGTGCGTAGGCGAGTACTAGGTAATGATACTTATGCTAGCTCCCTAGGCCAACAGATAGCATTGAATAAGTTGCGTTGGCTTGGGCACGTGCTACGTATGTCTGGTCACCGCTTACCTAGGAGGGCCTTGTTTGGTCTACCAGGTGAAGGGTGACACAAGGCTCGAGGTGGACAGAAGTTGACTTGGCAGTGGGAAATGAAGTCACTGACAACCAAACTGGGTGCCGTTGGTCCGTCTCGCCTTCCGGGCTGTAGTCCACGTGACTCGCCTTGTGTTTGGCTCGAGACTTTACAGGACATGGCTCGAAACCGACACCAGTGGCGCGTCTACTGCCGTCTCCTAGCCTGATTGCCTGTTTCAAGTGTGTTTGTTGCTGTGTTATCTGCGGGGTAATGTCTGATTATGACGCGTGGCAGTGAAAGCCGCAAGGAAGCTGTCTTGCTGATGCCGCCTTATCTTTGCACGATAGCCAGCTGTTTGTGACGGTATGTTGTCTACACAACGTGTATGCGCCTTGACCCTGAATGTTTGCTTAGTGCATTCAAGGTTTTAGGTAATTCCCCCTTCTCTCCCTCTTATTATTCTTTATTCCATAGATCATCATGGTTGTATGGCAGCGAAGCATCGGTTCAAATGGCTGATGTACTGCTGTTGATTGATTTGCTTGATTGGGTATTGAATCTAGCAAGCGAAAGATCTTCGCAGTGTTTTAGTAGATATGGAGGAAGGTCGTTGAATCCGGGAGCCGTTTATTTTCCACACGGAGAGCTGATATAGAATCTCTTCCAAAGTGGGTGGTGTGATATTTCCCAGGATGGCTCAGGCAATTCGCAAGTGGTAGTTTCGCAGCAGGCCTGCTGAACTGCTCCTAAAAATATTTCTTTCAACGTGCCAGTCGATGACGCTAAGAATGGATCAACTTAACGGGTGGTTTCCTCGGACCATCTTATCCGCAAGGTCAAAGTGTATCTGGTATATGACAAAAGCATCAAGTAAAACCCAGTATTTCAGCAGTTGCTCGATTAACTTGGATTGTGCGTCGGTTTCGAAGATTCTAGAGAATTCCATTCCTCCACGTGACCGCCAACATTCAGAGGTTTGGCAATAAAGCTACTAATTTTACAAGTTGACCTTCGTTTCTAGTAGCCGAAGGTCATTAAGTGACCTATAAATTTGGCGAAGGTCTGGAGCGTTTGTACAGTGTTTTGGCGGCGTTTGGTTGACACGTTTTTCTTGGTCAAGGTTGTTGGACTTCTGAATTTTTTTCGGTTGAGTTAGAAATCTTGCGGAGACTTTTGAGTGTTTAATTCAGAATAGCGAAGAAATTTTGATGATCTGACAGTGTGGCTTTCCAGAGACTCAATCATCTATGGAGACGGTGGGATATCAGCCTGTCAGTATGTTATGGGGACCCAACGTCCCCACACTGGTTACTTACTTAAACTACGGAAGGCAGCGAAACTCGATTCAGACGAGTATACATGTCGATAAGCCTTCCAACTCGTGTGGCATTCACCTTTCGACTAGCCTTTGTACCTCAGATAACTCCTGTTTCCGATCAACTACCGCAATCATAAAATATTCAGCTTTTTTACCTAAGAAACATTCAGTTTTCCAGTCCAGCCTCGACATCTACCAACATTCATTTCCAACGTGTTCCTTTGGCATATTTGCACAGTGCCAATTCAGTTGCTTACAGGGTTTGCTTACGCAAACTATTGGCACCATCTAGGTATAAAAGAAACGCTGAACTGCGTTGTACTCGCCTTGAGTCTGGCTGGTAAAAGTGTCTACGCGAAAGGCCTGTCTTTTTGTCTTGTTCTCTCGGGTTTGGGTAGCTGTGTGTGAAAATGCGCTCGGTCTATGAGCCCGTACAACTCGCGCGTAGTAACCATTTTGCGCCTAAATCTCACGAGTCGTACAACTTCGAATTTTGTTTGTTACTTTGTCGTGCATGAAATAGTTCCATGCCACATTCGTTTGGCCGACTAGGAGAGTTGATACCAGATGGTCAGAGCGTGGCGTAACCAAGAGGCAGTTATAACGCTGCGACTAGACCAGTGTTGCTGTATGTATCAGAGACCTGACTAGTTCGTGGCGAAGACATTAAACACTTGACTGTGTTTGACTACCGGTACTTGCAGAATATTGTTCACCTCTGGTGGGAACAGCAAGTGAGCAATGCTGAGCTTCGCCAGTTGGTTTTTGTCAGCAAACTTTTTGGTGCGTCACTCGTGTTTACTGCGACCCAATCGCTTAGGTTGGCCAGGCCATGTCCGCCGTGTACCCATTAACTGGCTTCCTGTGTTTGCATTATACGCCGTGGCTGCACCAAGTTAGGCGAAACCGCATAGTATCCAGTCCATGACGTTGCATAGAAGCTTGAAGAAATTGACTGTGAGACTTGTTCAATGCTGGACCTCGGGATGATCTACACCAATGGTTGGAGACCGTATCAGACATGGCGCAGTCACGCAGTCAGTGACGTTCCTATATTCGGTTTCTTATATCTGGTTGTTGATTCCCGTTCTATTTTGGTTAGTCTAATACACATCCTTGCATTCAACCCCACTATTTTACCGTTATTATTTATTGTTTTTCTTACGATATGAGTCGTGGTAACGATTCACCGCACATCGGTACTCGGCTCATGGTAGTTCAACTGAAAATTAAACTGTAACTGGCGTTCAGTCAATGATTTCGATACACACTATTTCGTTCCGATGCCCAGCCTTGTTTGGCTACAACTACGGCGAGCGATTGTGGGTTATGGATCCTCGCATGATCCGCTCACCTGCAGAATATTATGATGATGCGCTGCAAACGTACCACGGCATTGACGGCGCTTTCGGCCGGGTGGATCGATGTATCCTTTGGGACTGTCTGATTAGGAATGCTCTGCCCGAAAAATGCTAGATAATATGTGAGCGTTTTATTTGCGGATTTGGGGCAGAGCGCTTTTTTATGGAAAGCTTTCATCATCCCTCAATATCTCTTCATTTTTTTCAAATTTGTTTTTGGCGAATTTACAGAAACTGAGTTCACCAAGCTCCTCTTGGGTGTGGAGTTGCCTTCATGTGGTTGACTTTTCAACTAGGAGTACGCCAACTACATTGTCCTACTCTGACATTTCACCATCGCACCAAACAGCGACGGGAAGGCAAGCACTAGCTGTCAATCATTTCTGGCTGTTTTTCACCTCAAAAATACCATCTTCCCTCCAAGCTTGACAGGGACCGCTTCTCACGTTGACCATTGATGGGGATCCGCTGGAAATTATTCAGGAATTCAACTACCTAGGTAACTGTTAGTGACTGTGGAGTAGGTGTGGTCACAAGCCGCACAGCGCAAGCTGGGGTGGTTTAGCAAATTCTCGCTACCTATGATATAGGTGCGATCTCACCTTCATCTTGAAGAGTAGTCTACAATGCTACCCTCTTCTCTACTCTACCGGACGGTAGGGGCACCAGAGGACATCGGATTGACGAGACTAGTTACTTTTGACTACTAGTGCCTCCGCAGTTTAACTCATTTCTGTTAGAAACACTACGTGAGCATTGAGCGTGTTCGGCGCCTTGTTCATGGCACAGGAAGAGGAAGTGAACCACTGAGCATCGTTATTTCACACACCGAATTTCGATAGCCTGGTAATGTGTTACGTACCGACTCCAGCGACGTGCGTTGTTTGTGCGACCGGGATTCGAGTAGAATGAGAGTGGAGGCCGTGTTGACTTTGTCAAGATTAATGAAGGCTCTTAGTTCGAAATTGACTTCGGTTGGAGCCGCTCGGCTCCCGGGTTGATATCCGAAAGTCGAAAAACGTTTGACAGGAGACATTTATCGACATAGCCAACAGCCGACCTCGATGTCATGTATTTTATTCGTTTACTTGTCCCTCTCCTTCCTGTCTAGTCTCCAGATCACAATTTAGATCTGCATGCATAATGTTTAGCGAAAGAAAGTTACTTTTGTGTTTTCTTTCTCTTTTGCTGTCCCCCAATTGTGATATAGCGTCGAATATTGGTAGCCCAACTTGTTCAATTGGTGGTCTGAGTGTTTGCTGAGCTCGGTAGTTTGGTTGCGCAGTGATTGAGGCGTTTATTTCCCGTGACTAACCTGCAGAAATGATGGTGCCGACGGTGTGACCACTCGGTCATCGGCCGACCAGCTTAGATTTGTTTTTCTTGAAGCGTTGCAGATTCAATCCTCCGATAGAGACGTGCACGACCATCAACAGTCTATGAGTCATTCAACCTAATACTGTTCCCTTTGGACTAGCCACGTCAGACCATTTACAGGGACAATGTCTTGCACCCAAACAGTTGTGCATTCCAAAGCGGAAACAACGTTTCTCATGACGTTAGGTAATACACTCGTTTAGAGGCCCTAAAATAGACACCTTTCCATTGTTTTTTATATTACCGGAATCAGTATTCCACGGTCGAGCGCTAATATTTTAATTACTCCCATATATTGTTTGGAAATTACTTCTGCTTTTGTCTTTTCGTCTATAGAAATGAGAACGATCATTCGGATGTTGAGTCACCAAGGATCTTGACACGAAAAACGGACAGTCACTAGACAAAAGCTTGCATTATTTATGGCGACCATGCCTGCCTGATGTATTCACCACTTTTGACGAAAACTGTTTGGAAACACCACTTTTGTCCTCCGCTAAGTTCACTTTGATCCAAATGAATTTGGCTCGATCTGCACTTGGATGAGGACGTGCGTGCTTACCATCTCATCTTACCATCATCATCTTACCATCTCATTCGTTAACTTGTTTTGGATGAGCGCTGTCCAGTCTCATGCAGAGCATGGGTTTAATTGAATTCTTATACAGTGAAACAATTGCCAAGAAAGGCAGACATTTAATCGCTTATCGGCCCTACCAACTAGTCCGTTAGAAGTGTCATTTTGAGAAACAGTTTAACACGCAAACTGGGACATTACCACTTGCAGAATTGCCCGAACTTACGTGGTAGATTGATGTCTTGCCTTTTTAAGATATTCTACGGAACCTCGTTTTGGTGAAACGAAACATGACAGCTGGATCCGACAACCATCATCTTTGCGAATAGATGGTGATACATTAGTGCTGATTTGTTCACCCTGGGACACTTGACTTCGTGCGAAAATCAATGAATGTTTAGCATTGTCCCGATTGCTTTTAAAATTCTCACAGTATCATTCTGCTGTGTCACTGGTTCTCGTAAGAGCCAAACCATGGAGAACCAAGCTGTGTTTAGCCCCGCTGGTTGTTGCATTCACCACATATTTGTTTTTCTTCAAGTGTTGGGGCGGAAACACGTACATATGCCTGACTATTGTGGGTTTTTATCCGAAAATTGCTTTCTACTCTGTCATAGGTATTAGTTCGTTGTGCTGCGTGTCCGTGAAGGGCTTGTCAAACAAACACTTTCTCTCTGAATTTTTTATACCATACATCCTGAGACCGGGTAATGGTTTAACGGAAACTTTCTTAGTTTCCCATATTAGGTGGGGTTCGTCAAGGTTGTACTTTATCTCTTTTCCTCTTCAGCTTTGCAATCGAAATTATAACAAAGAATTATATTCTCTCAGTCTTTTCTGGAAAAGAAGTCATACCAGGTGACCGACTGACAAACCTTGAGTTCGCTGAAGAAATAGCTCTTTTTGGGTTTAGCGCAATGGCTGTGCTAGCACTACTAAAATAATAGACTGATGCGTGGCACTGCAGGCTTCGGAATATGCTTTGCACCTTTAAGGTGCCAAGTATGGTTGCAGGGCTGACCTGACACGGCACCGATGAATCAGTTCACGTACCCTGGTAGCTGTGTCACATCACTGAGTAGGTTACCTTGCGTATCGATCAAACGCATGTGGCTTTCCGGTAGTTCAGTAAGGTCGATGTGTCCCGACTGCCGAGCTGGGGTCTAGACGACGATGAACACGTTTGGTTGGATACAATTTCATATATGGCGAAGAGCCGACCCCGATGGTGTTTGTGTTGGGAGTTTCTTTGTCCATCTCCCCTTTCGATTTCCCTCCCAATTTCGATCTCATACCAAATGCATAATATGATGTTTAACATTATGCTACTTGTTTTTTGAAGCCTTTTTGAGCCTGTAATTCATAGCATTTTATCTTTTTGTACTGCGACACATTAATTGAGATGTTTCTCACTCTCAGCTAATGTGTGTTGATGATGCTGATGCTGTTGAGGTCCAGTAATCTCTGGGGATAGCGGACTGTCATCCTATCAGTCAAAGATGGAGTGTGTAATGCTGCAATAAGGCTAATGTTATTATGTTGATTAAAAACATGACTACTTCACGCCTAAGACATTAAACCAATAACAGTCTTTGATTGCCAGTGGCTGCAGATCTAGCTCACACCCGGTGCGATCACCAATTGGGCACTGCTGAAGTCCACTATTTGGTTTTTGGCAAGAATTTCACATTTGTCTCACTGGACCTCGTGTCCAAGTTTATTCTCCTAAGCCCGCTGGATCTTGTCCTCCGGATGCTCATTCACCACCTTTCTCGTTATGCATTATATACCATCTGTGAACCTAGTTGGACAAAATCGCGAGATGGCACAAGGAATTGAAAAAAATTGATCCAGAAACTTGGTCATGCTAGTGCATGCTATCTTCGAGGTTGAGGCTACGGGTGGACCATATCATTGGTGGGGCATGGTGCCGTCGCGAGCTCTCTCTTTATTTAACCCTTTTTCACTTTCTGTTTTTGTTGCACTCTATTTTCGCTTTATATTATCCTGACAATGCTGGTCGTGGTGACCGGATACCCCAATTTTTTTCTCCGCATCATAGTTGTTCAATCGACTGAACGGAACGAATTAATCTTTTGACAATCTTCCGCGCTTCATGGTTTGTTTTACATTGCGTTTACACCGTTCGTTTTCTATCGTTTGTTCTGCATATACTGGCAATAAACTCCATCAGCAAATCCTTTGGTTACACACGCTGTTGTATTTGTTTCTACATTTTGAGCTAACCTGAGCTTAAAGGAGTATTTCATTCACTTCTACATTTTGTCCCCGCCTCTTTTTGGGTTCTCTGGATTTCGGTAGCATCCTCCTTTGTTTATGGTATCCATACAATGCTTCATCGAGTCTGCGCTGCCACCAGATATATCTCAGTTTTAGACAACTACATCCTCAAATATGTCTTGTACTTGCTCAGGAGCCCGTGCCCCTTGTGTACTTACCCGCGATTGCCTGCATTGCTCTTTCTGGTTTTTGACATATTAGTGTGTAGTGTCCTCTTTATCTAGGGAGATTCACTTTCACACGAACTCCTACGCGATAAGTCTTTTGATCCTGGATCTTTTCTCTACCCTTTTTTATTTCAGCAGGAGCTCAATAACCTATGATGCCACTGTTCTCCAGGGTCATCAGAATTACGTGTCTGCAGTTGCGGCCCATGCTCCCACTGACGGCATTCCCCTCATTTACACAGGCTCCAATGATAACTCAATTCGCGCCTATTCCCTCGGTCATTCTCAGCCGGACTTTACTCTAATCGGACACACGGATACTGGTAGAGAAACGCATCCACGTTACATCTTCCCTCTGTTTTAGTCTGCGCCCTCACTGTGGACCCTAACGGAATCTTGGTTAGTGGTTCCTGGGACAAGTCTGTGAAAGTTTGGAGGGATCGCAATTGTGTAGGAACAATTCAGGGTGTCATGTGGGACGAATTGTTGTCCCAATATGAAAGGCGCAGTTAATACAACAATTTATAACGTTTTTCATTGTTAAAGAATAATAAGGTTTTCTGGTTTCTTTTGAAAAGCTTGGTCGCCTCAATACTCAGTCGGACAGCGAACACATCCGGAAAAGTGCTAGATCACCATTTGATTGGACTCGTTAATACGGCGTATCCTGTTGGATCTGGACTCTTCTCTTCCGAGTCAGTGACCTAAGTCACTGAGCCACACTGGCGGCAACGGACAGCCATGAACGACTACTGATTGAGAGATAACGTGGCATCTTTCACTGTGGTGTATGCTACGAACGTGCAGAACTGGGTCCAACCCGCTGGCTACAGTTTCCTTTACAATCAACCACCAGTTGAGGTGGTACATAAGCTGCTGGGCGATTATTACTTGTTTGAGTGTAGCGGGGCTTTTCTTTGTCTCTTGGATTGGTTCGTAGAGGTTCTTTCCATAATGCCAGGAGCCGGTCAACTGCTGCAATTTGCCTGTTTTCGTAAGTCACGGTCTCGAAAACCGGATGCGCGTTTTTCCGGAAAGCCACTTATGGCCTCCGGATAGATAGCTATGCTCGCTGGTTGGAAGTTGTCTTTCAGGACTTGGCGTGGATCACTCTGGCCATTCCACCGGTTAGCACTGAGATATTTGCTGTTGACGAACGGCGGTGCATTCTGTTAGCAAATATTCGCTAGCCATCAAATCGCTTTTTCGCGCGATGCTCTAGATTGCACGATAGCCACAAATCCTCCCACGGGAGTAGTGATCTTAAGCTCAGTGCAGTAATGTTCCCAGTCCAATAGAATTATTGCTTGTGTATGCATATTATTGTGTAATTGCATCACTTTGGAATGATAGCTTTTAGTTTACTTGGAGGAAGACAATGGATCTCACCTAGAGTGGTATCGACTGCAGTTGACTTTTTATCTGCAAAACCATTTCGATCTTTATAATTTTGAGGACGAAGTTTACTACCTTTCCGAACTGTGAAATGCTCTTAACGATCTAGCTCTTGAAGAGCAAATCGTTAACTAAACAAATGCTCGTATGTGCCATTTATGTGACATTTTGCTTACAAATTTAGATGATCTTCAATCCTATAGTTTGAATTGACCTGGGGCTGTACTCAAAGGTTATATTCCATTATGTTTGTTAGCAACAATCTGCTCATGAACCCTTATCGTCATTCTTGCAGTTTTCAGTCTTTTGAGCCTGTCACTTTATTTTCAATAATCCTTATTTCTCACTAAATTAGCTTACTGCAATATCACAATATTCGGCGCTTTCTCTTCACACTGTGACACAAACTATCTCGAGATTATACGGACACACCACAAACCTTTGTAACTTCGAGCAGTAACTCGAATTTATCGGCTGGTTCACCTACTTTGTCAGCATCACCACCACTTTGTCAATTTATCATGCAGATACATATGGATTGAGAAGCGCCGTATAGTTCTTCAAACCCTCAATCGTCCGTGGCAGCGGAACGATGTCAACTTGCTTACAAAATGCGGTGTCAGTGGCTACAGCCATCCACTGAGGTCATATGGGTCAATTGTTACTACTGCATATTGACACAGTCAAGCAACCGGAATCCTTTGACTACCGACGCCAACACAGCACAACTCTCAACTGCAGGAGCACTGAATCATCTGGCTAATTTGTACCACCGCCCATAAAGCGTATTTTGGAGTGCCGGTCGATTGTCCGGCTCACCTTGCTGCGTTTGTTGTGTGAAATCCCTAGATGTAGGGACCTCTTGATACAAACAACAGGAAATTGTTTCAAAATATTGGCTATGCTGGTATATAGCATCAAGAGGTAGTCAAATTGACTGCGCCAGATCTGCATTGTGTCTGCAGTCTGTGTGCTGCAACGCCTGAGCGACCATCAAGCAGCGTCCTCAGCAAATCCAACCTCCGTCCATACACCGCCATTTAAGGAGTCAGAGTTCCTTATGTTGGTGGCGTTCAGCGTAGGATTCCATCTGCTTCGCCTTCCGTCCACCATGCTTTTTTAATGCATGTTTTCGAGTCAGCTGCCGTCGAATTTCGCGAAACTGAGATCTGCCAAATGTGCAGCAAATACAGCATTCTTCTCAGGCACCAATGCGCTAATCGTCGCATTGTTCTCCTCAAACCAATCGGGTCACTTACTATTTGCGCGTCCGATGGTCTCCTCGGCAGCCGCTGTCACCTGGTCGCGAATGTGGTGCCACAAGTCGCCCAGCCTGTCTATCCATTCTACTTCACACAAGCGTGCGACCATCGTCTTCTCCATCTTCATCCTCTTTACCTTTCCTAGGGAAAAACGTTATACTTCCACCGGTTCACGACAAGAGTGCAATACATAGATTTACGAAATTGTATGTATAATTTGGTCCGCACTAACTTGTGATCAGTGCCACACTCAGCTTCACTCAATGCTTGTGTCATGCACACTTCACGCATGTCATGCTGACGTACGATGACATAGTCGAGCAGGTGAGCGTGACCACTCCGTGGATGCGTTCAAGTAGCGATATTACTCGCACCCAGTGCAAACTGTGTTCGTGATCGTCAGGTCATGAGTGGCACACAGTGAGAGCAGCCGGTCGCCGTCCTCATTGGTTGTGTCAACACCATACGGACCGATGACATCTGTCCCCAGTGATGCATCACGCCCAACGCGCGCGTTGAAAACATCCAGCAGAGATAGTCGATCTTTCCGGCACAGACCGTCTCACGGAGGAGAATTGGATATAGAACTGATCACCCGTGTCAACAGGATAACATATGGTCGGAACTAATGGGCTTGTAAAAGTGGCAAACTTAAATCTTCCGCGTCTTAGACGAACAGTCATCAGTCGCGCGCTGATGCCAGTCGGCTCATCCACCAGCTCACCATTTAGGAGATCGGATAGTGCAAATCCGACCCGATGTTCACATGGTGCTGAGGTGGCGTTTCCTACTCAGTAGAAAGTTTAGCAGGCACCAGCTTCATGCAGCTTACCTTGCTCAGCAAGCCGGATCTAGCCGAACGCCGTAATATTGGTGTTGTAGCTCGCCAGTTCCATCGAGACCAGTGCAGTGCGTCACTCTGGGCGCTCACTTGAGTTCTGGTCCAGTAGTGTGCGTACGTTTAAACACCCGATTTTGAGTACTTTGCGCTTAGACACACAATTGCATTAGTGGACGATCGCATACGTGGTGGTGATTGTGCTTCAGAGGTTTGCTTAAGTGACTCCACCCGGAGCCTCTGGCTCAATATATATATATATATATATATATATATATATATATATATATATATATATATATGCCGGCATTCACAGCACACACCAACGCTAAGTCATCACTGTTCCACTGTGCTTCTACGTCTCCGTCAAAGTGAGCATAGCTATAATTCCAGTTCTTTCACCGCAGACTTGAACTTATCTGAGCTTATAAAAATCAGTGGTCTTAATCGCACCATTTCCCTGCTAACTTGTAAAGTTGCTTACTCCATCTCCGTCATCTTTGTGCCTTCCTTCTTCTGTCGCGGATGTAAGTCGCGCTTGGGTACAGTTTCACTTTCGAATGCTTAACTACTGACTTCGTGCAAGGTAGCATCTTGATGAGCCACACCTAACCTACCTTTATTGAGCTTACTTAACTCGGTTGTAAGTCGCGATGACTTCACGTGTTGTCCACTGCTCTTCTGTACTCACCATGCCCTATGATATTCTTGTTACCTCAAGTGGAGTCTAGTACGGAGACATACGGAGACGGTGAGCTGCGACGTCTTCCCCTTCGTATTATTGGCCGCGATTCACCTCACTATGTATGCTCCATGATATTACTCACCAGACTATGCTACCTACATTCTGCTCCTTGAAATCGATTTGGTGATTACATGACCCTGGCTTGACCAGCTGCCCAATGCTAACTAGCACGCCGCGTAGGGGGCCGGTGCATCGCAGATTAATGGTTCAGTCCATCCATGAGCTAATTTGTATTTGGCATGTGCGCGGAGTTTCCTAGCGCATTGTGTTGTTGAGACGGATCAATGCTTGAGTGGCAAATTATTGTATATGTTCCCAATTCGACAGCTACGCTTGAATCAAGAGATTGCCAGCGATTGGCCGTTTACAGTACGCATCAAATGTAAAGTTTGGCATTTGGAACACAGCGCTCAACGTTTGTCCCTCATGTGACCACGTTGAGCTATGCATTCGAAGATAATTTGCCGTGGAAATTCTGTGGCAAGTGAACAATCCCGACAATTAGTCGACTAGCCCTTATCATGATGTCGACAGTTCATGTTCCAATCCACAGGTTAGTGGTGATAGTGAGCATAGTTATATTTCCCGTTGTTCATCAGCCATACCGAAGTTACCGGCGCTTATGAACCACAAGTACTAGGCGCATTGACGGCGGAAGCGCAGAGACACTTACCAGAAGCTGAATTGGACATGGCCAATCTTCTGGATAGACTAAGAGAAAGGTTAAGCCTAGCGGGAATTGTACGTAAGTGTCTTAATCTGTTACCTCGGAAAGGAATCGGCGCATAGCGACAATCGTTTTATGAGCACCGAATAGCTGCACCCGAGAAGTACGATGCAGATCGTTACTAAATAGCTTGTGGCCACAACAGAGTACAAATCAGTATCTACCTGGATGACAGTCATGCTGTCTTGGATGTTCGCAAAACAATGCGAACACTCTTTGGAAAGCCGCATATTTGACCGCGTGCAGCCGGACCTAGTTGATGTACTGTGGTAGTTGTCGTGCCAACGAGGCCGTAAGCGTCGAATATGTGGTATTGCCACCTGTCAATGCTTAAGGTTGCGCAACAATCGTTCTTTGAGAATCTGCACGTACCTCGGGCAGCAGATGACCGGACCGGTCGGCGACACGGAGAGCCTGAAGTGAACACCCCGTCGCATTCGCACGCTGTGCAATCTACCCCATCAGCTACGCAAACCAGACTGTACATATAGACGGCAAC